GGTACGGGGAGGCTCCCACCCCTCGGGACGGACCCTGCCCGCCCCCCGGCTCCGTCCAAGGGGGTCCCGTGGGTGCCGAGGGTGCTGTGTGCTTGGGTGTTGAGTGTTTGGGTGGTTTTGGGCAGTGCCTGGCCCCGTGGGACACCTGAGCTTCAGTGACATCCTGGATACGTCCCTGAAGGTCAGCTGGCAGGAGCCGCTGGAGAAGAACGGGATCCTGACGGGTAAGGGAGCAGCAGCAGGTACTGGATCTGTCTGGTCCCTTTCCCATCCCGCAACACTTCCCTTTTTTCTTGTCCCATTCCCACTCTGCAGCACTGTCCCCTGTGTCCCATTGCCACCACGCAGTCACACTCGTGTCCTTTTTCTCCTCCACAGCATCTCCCCTTTGTCCTGCCCTGTTCCCACCTGCCCTGTCCCGCCCCTGTCCCCACACAGCCCGTGGGGTGGGCAATGCAGGGGTGACAATGCGAAAGTGATGCTGCAGGGGTGGGCAATGCAGGGGTGCATTCCAGGGGTGATGCTCCATGGGTGCATTCCAGGCTACCGGATCTCCTGGGAGGAGTACAACCGCACCAACACGCGGGTGACGCACTACCTGCCCAACGTCACCCTGGAGTACCGCGTCACCGGCCTCACCGCCCTCACCACCTACACCATCGAGGTGGCCGCCATGACCTCCAAGGGACAGGGACAGCTCTCCTCCTCCACCATCTCCTCGGGGGTCCCCCCAGGTGAGCACCGTTGGTGTTGGGGTGCTGGAGGGCTGTGTGTGGGGCTGGGGACAAGCGGCCAGTGCCACCCACCCTGCCCTGTCCCCACAGAGCTCCCCGGTGCCCCCACCAACCTGGGCATCTCCAACATCGGCCCCCGCTCTGTCACCATCCAGTTCCGCCCGGGTTACGATGGCAAAACCTCCATCTCCCGCTGGCAGGTGGAGGCACAGGTACAGCAGGGGGGCTCGGGAAGGGGCTCAGGGGGCGTTTGGGGGCAGCTCACCCCACTCACCCTGCTGCCACCCCACAGGTGGGCCAGAACGGGGAGGCCGGCGAGTGGGGGCTCGTGCACCAGCTGGCCAATGAGCCCGACATGCGCTCCATGGAGGTGCCCAACCTGAAGCCCTACACCTACTACAGGTGAGTGCCAGGCTGGTGCCACGGTGCCATCCCTGGGTCCCTCACTGTGACCCCATTGTCCTCCCCAGGGGACTGGAGCCCTCTCAGCCCACACCATGACCCCCTCTCCTCTCGTCCCTCAGTTTCCGCATGCGGCAGGTGAACATCGTGGGCACTAGCCCGCCCAGCCTGCCCTCCAGGAGGATCCAGACCCTGCAGGCCCCCCCGGACATGGCCCCTGCCAATGTCACCCTGAGGACGGCCAGCGAGACCAGCCTGTGGCTGCGCTGGATGGTGAGGGGGGTCCGGGGGTCTGAAGGGGGATGGAGCTGGGGGGCTGTGGGACATCAGCATTGACAGTGTCTGTCCCTGGCAGCCCCTCCTGGAGCAGGAGTACAACGGGAGCCCCGACTCGGTGGGCTACAGGATCCGGTACGCTCAGGCGGACGGGCGGGAGCAGCCGGCGCTGCAGCTGATCCGTGACCGTGTCGAGAGGGAATTCACCATCGAGGACCTGCAGGAGTGGACCGAGTACCGCGTGCAGGTCCAGGCCTTCAACGCCATCGGGCCAGGGCCCTGGAGCCCCCCGGTGCTGGGGCGCACGCGGGAGTCAGGTACTGAGCCCACCTGGGCACCCACCTTGGTCAGTGTGGCCTGGTACTGAGCCCACCTGGGCTCGGCCAATGTGGCCACTGACCCTCTCTGCTGCCCCCTCCAGTGCCCTCCTCCGGCCCCAGCAATGTGTCAGCAGTGGCCACCTCCTCCAGCAGCCTGCTGGTCCGATGGAGTGACATTCCTGAGGCTGACTGCAACGGGCTCATCCTGGGCTACAAGGTGAGCTCCTGCCCGTGGGCAGCACAGCTTTCCCTGGGGGAATCACCCTGCAGGTGT